GGGGGGGGGGGGGGGGGAGAGCGCGGCCAGGCGCGCGGCACGCCATAACGCTATCAGCCGCCGAGGTGAGCGCGTCGTAGGAGCTGCCGCGTTATTTTTTAGATTATTTCGTGCCGATTTTTAATACCGCGTTTCGACTTAGCGACAATTGAGGCGATAATTAAGACAAATTAAGACGTCTACTCCTCATGCGAACAGATGTTGCGGGCTTTACCGCGACAGGTAATTATTGCGTTTTATTTACTTTTTTACTCGTTAAATAGAGAAACATCGCGATCGAGTTCCTTAATGCCGATCAAATATTATCATCATCGATTTATTATTCGAGTATTATTACTTCTTTATTCAGTTGTCATTTAATTATTTTTATTGCGTATTGGGAAGCGAACTCGAGCGTGCCGTTACGACGATTTTCTTACCTCGTCTTACTGTCGTGTGTAATTAAATAATATTGCCGGATATTATTATATGATTGTCGGTCAGATATTAATATCATCATCCATTAATTAATCGGGTATTATTACTTCTTTATTCAACTATGATTTAATTATTTCTTATTGCGCATTAGAAAGGAACTCTAGCGTGCCGTTACGAAAATTTTTTTTCCTCGTTTTGCTGTCGTGTGTAATTAATTGATACTAAATTATTAAATTACTAAATTAAATTAAATTTTTGTCACAGAGATCCAATAGAGTATACATAATCACGCGGCTTTGGGGGATGCCGCGCCGGAGGATTCGGCTCGGGCCTGTCTGAGTCGGCTCGAAGGTGAACTTCACTAATTCGTACTTAAAATTAGAAATCCGATAAAACTGAAAATTTTCTTGTTTGGAATCGTGTTTCTTGATGCCTCCGTTGTGTAACTAATTAATACTCAATTAAATCTATTTTTTGTTGCAGAGACGAGCACTCGACTCTAAGGGGATGCTGCGCTGGAGGATCCGGCTCGGGCCTGGCAGAGTTGGCGTGAAGGTGAGTTTCACTAATTTGAATTTATAATTCCGATAAATTCGATAAAATAGAAAATTTTCTTGTTTGAAATCGAGTTCCTTAATGCCTCAATTGTCCTATGTAACACTAAATTAAATCTGCTTTCTGTTGCAGAGACGAAACAGAAGACCAGCCGACTCTTAGGGGCTGCTGCGCCGGAGGATCTGGCTCGGGCCGAGCGGGGTTAGCTCGAAGGTGAGGTTCATTAATTAACATTTGTAATTAGAAATCCGACAAGATTGATAATTCTCTTGCTCGAAATTAAGATAATTTGAATCGAGTCAAAGATCGCGTTAAATTGTAATTACACGCGGGGAAAATTTTTTCTGAATAACATCACCACTTAAAAATTTTGATTTGTTCTGATTAAGAGATTTATTTGCAACGTCGAGAAAAAGGAAAGTAGAATATTCCAAGTGTGAATACATTCCGAAAAATTCTTCCGTAAAATATTGCGTTTATTTTTTTTAATTCTTCAAACTTCTTCATTCAAATCGTCATCAATGCACGAATCTAATAGAAATGGCACGAAATGGCATTTTTCTGTTCCAGAAACGAAAGCAGAATGTGGCTACTCTGATCGGCAGTTTGGTGAGTCAAAACAAGAAATATATTGATAATAGAGAGACAAAATGTCTCTCGATGTAGTGCATGCTTATTGAATCAATGCGATTTACTTTGCTGTAGTTGTAGTATGTGTACGTGCCGTTCAATAAAAATCACACTGCTCGATACAATTGGAAGGTCGTTTTTTCGAATAACAATATTACTGATAATGCATATTTTACATAAATTTGGCAAATAAATTTTCAAATATTTTTCTCCCAATATATATATATATATATTTAGAAATTGATTAATTTAGATTATTGATTGATCGACGATTTTTGTCGGAGAAAATTTTGATTAATCAAACCCCAACACTATTTGGTAGATGCTTAAAATATTTAGTATACGCTCTGAACATTCAAATTTTGTAAAATTATTCAGTTTTATTCAATGCAACCTCCCAGGTGTTTCGAGCAGTGCACCAACGCGCAAAGAGATTGCGCCAACGAGCAAAGGAATTGCACCACAGAAAATATGCAATCACATCACCCGCGTCATAGATCTTCCGCCGGTCGTTAATTTTTTCAAATTTCTCTCTTGCATCAGTTTGAATCGCAATTGCATTTCATAAAGTAAAGTTCGTGCTTCGTTATTAAGTAAAATTCGATATTGTGCGACACTTGCGCGAATATAACGTGATTGTATAAACTGCTCGCAAAATTAATTTCACGATTGTCGGAAAATTTTCAGGTATCAATTTTTCACTTAGAGTTAGTTTCCTCACGCACACAATAGAGACAATGCTAGCGAGTGAGGAAAAACGCGATGTATAAGTCAGACATGCGAGCAGTTGTTTGTTTACTTACGCGGCGCGCGACAAGTTCCATCGAACGAAGATAGGTGTCTCAGGCGATACAATTTTTTTCGCATAAATTTTGAACCGAATCTTTATTTCTATCTTCACAAATTTCATAGTTTTTTATTTGTTTATTCACGCTCGCGTTCGCGATTATTAATTTGATAGATTTGCAAATTTCACCAGATTGTATTTGCGGAAGAGTCGCGAACGAACTTCGTAGAAATATTGCGGAGTTGTTATTCGCAAAAGCATTGCGGAATTGTTTTCGCAAAAGTATTGCGGAGTTGTTATCCGCAAAAGTATTGCGGAGTTGTTATCCGCAAAAATATTGCGAAATTGTCTTCGCAAAAATATTGCGGAGCTGTTATCTGCAAAAATATTGCAGAACTGTATTGCAACCTACTACGCTGCACCGTCGAAACGTTACATTAGGGATATTTCGTGTCCTACGTGAGAATTTTGCATAGATTACTTCGCCCACGTGTCGAAAGATTTCGCGAAATCGGCCTTTGATTCGCGTCGCGTGTTCCCTTCACTCGCGGATTCCGTTTTCTTCGTAAACGATTTGCGTCGCGCGTGTATCAAAGCGATGCAACTTGATCGGACCGTTGCTGAATTCGTCGCATATCCTCGTCGTTTATCCGAAAGACCGACATTTCCTCAAAGAGTCCATATCGCAGTTTGCGATATTTCATACGCAACTCGCAACTCGGTGTGTATCCCCCAAGAGAGACGGATTTTTCGTGAAACCTTCGTTAGATTACCGTGGTCGGGAGTGAATTACAGGCGACGTGGGACGCGAAGGACCATTGCAGTGTCAGATGCAGCGACAGGATGGCTGGTGGACCCTGGACACCGTGGGACAACGCGCAATGGTGAGCGCTCAATTTAGACGCTCATATAGTAGACACAAAGCGTCACTTTACGTAGATTGCATGCACGTAGACGTAAATCGCATTGGGTCCGACGGGAAGTAAAGTAAGAATTGAAATTTGCAATTTGCTGGAATTACGTAAAAATGATCCAACCAAAGAATTTAGCTCTGAGATTTTCGCAATAGTTCGAGTCAAGCATTTCCATTTCTTTAAGAGTACTGACTAGCTCAATCCTTAAAAAAACATGCTAAAAGTCGCGACTGATAAAAACATAAAACGGTTTCTTAATTCATTTCAAGCATCTATAAAGCTTGAATTTTTTTGTTTGGATTAAAAAAATGTGAATGGAGTATCCACTGATAAAAGTTTATAATTTTTTGAATTGGATCATTCTTGCATAACAATGGCCAATTGAAATTTCGACTCAAGGCAGGCTTTCTTCTTGTCGGATTATTTCTTGATGATATATTAAATTGATATATTTCAACATGTCATATTTATATGCTCTGTATATGTTATATATGCATTTTTATGCTTTATATGTTTTATATATATCCAATGTATGCTCTATATATACTATTTGAATAATATATTTTATAACTTGTTATGTTGTATTATATACGACATACTATCTCTTCGGAGATATTTTCTTATGCATACGCGTTTGTTGTTGACAAGATAACAAATTAAATTTCGACAAACTAAAGATAAATTAAATTATTAAATTATTAAGTTAAGACTCGAACCGAAATGTTTCGATTTCCCGCTAAATTATTAAGTCGAGATTCGAACCCGCGTGTTTTGATATTTCGCTCAATAATTAAGCCGAAATTCGAACCGATGTGTTTTGAGGATATGCTAAAATATTAAGCAGAGATTCAACCGAAATTTTTTATGTTTTCACTAAATTATTAAGCGGAGATTCGAACCGATGAGTTTTGTGTTTCTGCGAAATTATTAAGCTGAGTTAGTTAAGTCTGGGATAATTTTTTAAAGTTTCTTAAAGAAATTTTCGCGTTTGAAAGGGTATATTTTCGAAAATATCGTAAAGTGTACGTATTCACTTTGCATCGTCTTGGATGATAATATGCCTTAATGTCACTCTACTCTCTCAGTAACACGCCCAGAATCTTGAAAATAATCTCCTAATATCCCAATGTCGCGCCCATAACATTAGATCTATCGTAGCGGTATATTCGAATTCTCGCATGCGCAGTGGGCCTATCCTGCGCATGGGCCGAAAGTCGGTCATGTTACTGCAGGTTAGGTCATGTAGCGTTAACATGTAGAGCACATTCTGGTATAGTTTCTTAGAGTTTTTAAAGTAACATTCGCGCTTGAAAAGGTGTATTTTCGAAAATTACGTTAGGTCTGCTTATTTCGTTCTTCATCGTCGACTGGGTGACAATATGTGTTTATGTCACTCCACTCCCTCAACAGCATTCCCAGAATCTTGAAAGTAATTTTCCAATAGCCCAAAGTCGCGTTCATAACGTTAGATCCAACTTAGCGTCGTAAGAATGTCGTATTCTCGCGCGTTAGCCGAAAGTCGGTCATATTACTGCGGGTTATTTAGGTTAATTAGTGTTAACATCTAAAACATATTCTGGGATAATATCCTGTAGTTTTTTTAAGTAATTTTCGTGTTCGTAAAGATGTATCTTCGAAAATGACGTGAAGTTTGACTATTTCGCTTTGCATCGTATCCCGGATTACATGGAATGCTCTGCTTCATTTTCGCACGTACTTTCACTATATAAAAGGGTTTTCATTCAGCGGAGGTAGAGATAAGTAAACTTTGCAGAAAGATTCGATGTTGTGATAATAACTATTCTTTATTGTTTTCGTCTCATATTGAGAGATACTCCGCTTTATTTTCACACGTACTTTCACCGTGTAAAAAGGTTTTTAATTCAACGCATGTAGAAAGAAGTAATCTTTACAGAAAAATTTGATGTCATAATAGTAACCGTTCCTTATCGTTTTCATATCATATTGATGGATGTTCCGTTTTATTTTCACGTACTTTTACCATGCAAAATGGTTCTTAATTTTGTCGAATCAGCACGAGACAATAGTTTTGCAAAGATATTCGGTATTACGTCAACGATATTTCTAACAAATTTTACTTTGTGTTGACTTAACCAAATAAAAAATGCTTTTTTATAGTAAAAGTACATGCATAAATGAAATAGAACATTCATGCTTCAAGGATGAAAGCATATGGAACTATTGCTGTCGTGATACTAACTTTATTTTTCAAAAATTATAGCGTACTGACTGCTCCAATTTATATGATAAAATTACGTGCGAAAATAAAGTGTAAAATTGGTCAGTGCGAAATGAAAATGATATCTCAAATTACCGTTGCTAATTATATTGAAAACTCAAATAATATGTAACGTATTTTTCAAAAAATTATTCGCAAACTACGCTTGCGCAACAATACTTTTCTCTAAAAACTCTTTCTTTGATGCTTCCAATATACA